ATTAAATAGATTGATCTTCTTACATTGGTAATTTGTATATGACGCGTGTTTCGTTTAACAAACCCAAGCAGCTTGTTTGCGCGTGAACCTTGCTCTGAGACCTGGCGATTCCATGTTAGGTCAGTGGAAACCCAGACGCCAAGATCACGTTTGTGACTTGTGTTCTCCAACATAGCTCCATCCATATCGTAGGCAGTGTTCAGTGGCTTGGTTTTACGTGTGATGGACCGGAGGCCGGGTGGCTTTTCTTCTCATTGAATTCTAAACCCGATTCAGTGGACCAAGATCCGATATTATTCAAGTCCGTCTGTAGAGCAAGTTCGTCATCGGTAGATCTAATTTCTTTGTACAATTTGGTGTCATCTGCGAACATTGCAGTTTCGCTCTCGGAGACCATGTTCAGAAGGTCGTTTACGTAGAGTAAAAACAGAGCAGGTCCCAGGATGGACCACTGGGGGACTATTTATGATAATGACAACGAAACAAGCTTTCACAACACACTAAATTTATTATAACAGAGACCAACGTTCAAGGTCAGCTTCGCTTTTTTGCTTTTGTAAGAATATAATATTTTACAAAGAATCAACAATTCATGCACCAACTAACAATAGGATATCAAATTCTCTGCACAAGTTTTGACGAGGGAACAAATAGTGTGCTTTAAAGGTTGCAAGCTTAAGTGATTACAAAAACTGAAGGTACTTCATTTTGCAATGGACAGAACAACAATTTCTTTTAGTTTGTTTGTTTGTTTTTTAATAACACAAGCTTGCTGATAAAACAATAATTTACAACGCTCAAAACCTAAGTAGCAATATCAATGGGAAATTTTCAAGAATAAGGGCAGGATGTGCAAAACTACGGAACTTCTTTTCCAAGTGATGTTCCCTGTTCCCCAAGGTGTGTATAATAGACTAAGCTCTTACATCAAGTTTGAGAGAAAAAAACAATAAGAGGAGAAATTTTGACCTCCAAAACTTCTGAGTATCTTCTTTTAGACAAATTAGGTCGGGGAAAAAAATTATAAATATTTAAAATATCTTTATGTAAAATAACACGTGCACCTTCATAGCTATTGGTTTGATACATGATTTTCACTACCGAAACAGAAGATTTAAGATTCCATGGAAACTACTTATAGCATTGGTGAATTGTTGGGAGTGTAAGTTGTGCCCTCCTACACGAGTCGATCACAGATAAATCCCTTCTTGAAAATTAAACAAATCAGTACAACACTTCAAAAAGAAAAAACACCAAACACACATACAGAGATGAAAAATGAACAGCTACATTCACAAAAATCTCAAACACATCCAGACAAAGTATATATCAATACCAAACAAATTTTGGCAAACTGAAACAACAAAACAATGTTTGAGACTTAGATATGTCTTCACACGTGTTTGGTTCACCCATTTTACTCCGTTAGTTCTGACTGGATACAGTTTTCGTTACCTTCCATCGGCAACAGTAAGGCCCCAATACAGCCGGAGTTGAGGAAAACTGTTTCCGGCCTGCTTAAGCTGTAAGTGGACAAACACACACACACACACACACACACACACAAAAAAAAAAAC